CATAGTGAATGTTGCCAGTTGAACATTGTCCTTTAAGAATTAATGTCAACCCAGAAACTCAGAATGTGACCTTATTCGGAAATAATGTTTTGCATATGCGATTAGTCAAGAATCTTACAATGAAATCATGCTGGATTTAGAGTGGACTTTATAACCAACGATTGGTGTCCTTATAGGAAGAAGAGACACATGCTCAGAAATGGAGGCCATGTAAAGATAGAAGCATAAATAGAAGTGATGCAGAGGTACAAGTCAAGTGAATGCAAAGAACTGCTGGGAGACACCAGCAGCCAGGGAGAGGGAAGAAAGAATTCCTCAAGCCTTCAAAGGGAACATGATCCTGATTTTGGCCTACTACCCTACAGAACTTTGAGACAATAATTGTTGTTGTTTGTTTTAAGCCACTAACTTTGTGATAATTTGTTATGGATGCCCTTGTGTATGAATACAGTGGATGAAAAATGTCTTCACGAGATAAGTCTGTTCCTGGTTTTATGTGGAGAGCTGTGGTCTAGTTACTGCATTACATCTGATTCTACTTCTCACTTTGGCTCGGCATTGAAAGTACAGCTACATATCTGGTCATACATCTGCTATGGGTTGTTTTGGCATCCACTGAATTTCCCATGGTTGCTTGTGGCAGCTGCCAGGTGCATCTTGTTTTGAGACCAGATATATACATAGCTTTTCTATTTTTCTTTATTAGAGTCTATCAAGGATTTCTATGTATTGTTACAGGTAAACTTTCAATCAATTCCTTCTCCCGTGTCAATTAATCCTGTAGCAGCCTAGCTGAACATTTCTAAATTCAAAAGAAAAAAAAATCAATTTTGGCCAAGTGAAGTTAATATATGAATGTGGTCTAATATTTTCTTAGTTAGGAATAAGAGAGTACTTTCTTAAAATTTTTGTCTTGATGATCTAAGCAAATAACTTTCCTTTGCAATGAAATGTCTTAATTTTCTCAATGTCTTAAAACAAACCTGAAACAAATTTAGCAAAGGTACAGCCTATATTATGTTTACAGGTGTTTTTCATTGAGGAACTTAGACCTCCTGGAAGGATTGCCCCGGGTGTTTGGATGGCACTGAAAGAGTGATAATTTTAGCATTGACATTCATGCTATTTGTGTCTCATTTCCACTAGCTACATGCTGTGGAGTGCCAGTATCACTACTTAGACTTTAGGGTTTGGACCAAACAGAGAGATATTTTTGAACTTGAATATTTACTTCCTTTTCTTTCCCAAGTCTCTTGTCTGTGAGAAGCAAGTACAGAATTATTTGAACTAAATATTACAGAGCAGCTGTGTTAATGAAAGCATTTGTTTTCATTTATTTTATGTGCACATACCTAAAGAGTTATGCAAAGGCTATGCATTTATAAATCTGATGAATGGATATCATAAATAAACACAGAAATAGAATTCAGTTAGAAACCAGAATATGCAGTTAAAAGGATTATATAAACTACACAAATAGACAGGAAATTCCAGCTCTGTGAGATTATTTTGGGCAATGGTATATCGCCACTTGTTTTTACTTTCACATAATTGTCTACTTATTACCTACTGCTTGAACATATTTTCAGTTTGAAATAGTCCAATAGTGGACTATTGATGCTTGTGGAGTTGTTAGAAGGCTTATTAAGTTATATGAATTACAGATGAAAAATGTTAATTTATAGAGGATATAGCCACAGTCATTTGTATGAAAGAGTTAATAGATTATAACCAATCTTTTGTAAAACTTACTTGGAAATAGTGAATATACACAGATGGAACCAATGCTAATAATTTTGAATGGAACCTATCCCAAAAATTCATAAAATAATTTTGAATTTGATATTTTAAATTATTTAAGATGTTAAGTGGTGACTTCTATTTTCAGCTCTGACATGGAAGGAGCTCTGATGTTATCCCTACCACCTTCAGAACCTCAAGCCGATAAACCGAAAAGCAATAAAAATGAGAAAATCAATGAAATAGGTTCAGCTGGAATGGAACCCTTCAGAAAACTAAGGTTGCAGGGAAGATTATCACTCCAAAAGTTAAGCATATTTATCCAAAGAGTTTCAACCAGCTCCTATATACCTGGAGCCATGAACTGATGAGAAAAAAAGGTATAAAAGACAAAAACCCCTGCACTTCAGGCCGCTTGTCTCAGAACAATGGTCCCCTGCGCAGGTGCAAATAAATCACCAATTAATAGCACCTGAGTGGGTCCGAGTTTATTTTTTTTATAACCCCAAGGTTATTTCACTGTGAAGAAGTATAATGTTATTTAAAGGTGGACTCAGAACAGTTAAAAATGTATATTGAAACTCCAAGTCAAACACTAAAAAAATTTTTTTTTTTTTTGTTATGCTGGAAAGATAAAAAGGAATCCTAAATGCTCAGATGGAAACGAGGAAGCAGAAAAAGTGGGAAAAGAGAAAACACAACTTAAAAATAATAAAGAGGAAACAATTCTAAACATGGTAGATATTAATCCAATTATATCGCTAATCACTTGAAATGTGAATGATCTAAATTTGCCACTTAACGAATGAGATTAAGAGAAAGCAATAAAAAGATTGAGGTAAATTAAAATAAAAATAACAAGACACAACAGTATGTTGTCTTAAGAAATGCACTATAGTCCAAGATGGTGGAGGGAAGAGAAGGGGGATGGGAGGTGAGGGGGAGATTCGATGGAAGGAGGATAAACGGTGGGACCATTCCTATGCTTCACATTGCAAGGGTATGTGTTGAATCTATTAAATATAGAGTATAAGTGTCTTAACATAATCAAGTAAATGAGGTGAAGGCTATATTAACTAGTTTGATGTAAACATTCCTAATTATATATAAAATCAGCACATTGTACCCCATAAAGTCATCAATGTATACATGAAAAAAAAAAAAAAAAACAACGCACTTTCAATCTAAAGAACAGATACGTGGCAGGTGCTTACAGAGCTGCAGTGCCAGAGCTCACAACTGAGCTGGACTGCAAGGGCTGCACCTGGTTTTATGGGCTGAGAAGAAACCCAAGGTAATTGTAGCAGTGAATACTGCAGATGGAAACCAGGGGTCTAGGCAGTCTCTGAAGGTGGAGGATGTCAGCCCTCCTGCTGGGCAGCAGGCCACTGACCCTGCATCCTGTCCTGTGCCCACCACACCTGATCCTGTGGGGGTCGATACCAGAGACAAGAATGCCACAAAAGCTGAGGCTGATGAAGCGGAGTCTGGGGCTAGCCAAGGCTTTGGCACTGGATAGCTCCTGGGAGGGGCAGCGGCCGGGCTCCCACTGGCTGTGTGGCACTGTGTTATGGTGAATGACTGGCTGCAGCAGAGCAAGCTGAAGGCACCTCCTGGGTCACGGAGTTTGCAGATGACAAGACTCAGTGGTGTGTGTGGAGAAGCTGAGGCTTCTCTGGTTGTTTTGCAGTGTGTTCCACCAGGCCACCTACAACAGCAGCCCATGTACTGCAAAGCCATCCACTGAGTCCTGCAAGTGGCCACCAGTGGCTCCAGGAAGTTACTGCCTCTGTGCCATGAAAGCAGGAAGAGTGGCACTGCAGAGGCCCTGAAGCTGCAGGACAAGCTAGTAATTAAAGGACCCTCCAGGGGATTCAGGGCCGGCCCCACAGGCCTAGAGACACAAGAAGGGAAGGATCACTACAAGGGAGTGTACACAGAATGTGGACTGAACCAGGGGTAGCTGCCTATGCACCATCCCGCCAGTCAAAACGCTCAGAAAGAACAAAAGAGAACCCCAAGGGCAAGATTATTGATAAACTCACAAGAAAGCTGCTGGTGTATAAGGTGTGGCAGAACTACCAGAATTTCAGACATTTGCACCTCTTGTGGGAACCTCAGTGTCATCCTGGAACACTACCCCTTCATGGAGGGATGTGCCACACCAGCAGGAACTGCCTCCTGGAGTGTGCCGATCAACACTGTGACAGTGGCTGTCAGTCCCACTGCGCCATCATCTCTGGGGGTCATGAGGTGCTCGTGTGTAGGAACTAATGCTGCAGGTATTTTTTGTGGAGTGTGTGGACCTCTTGGTGGGCCTGGGGGCTGTCCAGGCAGCCATTAAGGACGACACCTGGGACTTGCTACAAGTGCAGGTGCATTCTGGCTGCTGTGGCAGTGGAATGACAGGCGGGCAAAGCTGCGGGTGTTTTTCACCAATAACCACAAGCAGGAATTTGACCCTCTGAGGGTTTACCTGCCTGCATCAGCTGAGAAGCAGCAGCCTATCTGGGTGCTTGCTGTCTTTCTCTGAAAGAATTGCTCCAGGCTCTTGGTGCTGAATGACCCAGGAGTTCGGTGGATTGTGGCATTTCCTGGGAAGTATGGAAGATATGGTGTGACACCAGGGGAAGGTCATGTATGTTGGAGACATCTGCATTATCACACAGGAGTGGACCCATTTGATTTGCCAATAACAGAGTACACATTCTTTTAAAGCTCAAATGGTACAATTAACAAGATGAATCACATATTGGATGAAAAACCACTTGGACAAATGTAAAAGAATACAAAGTATGTTCTTGGACCAGAAAGCAATTAAACTACAAATTAATAAAGGAACTACAAATTAAGCAATTAAACTACAAATTAATAATGGAAATATAGATGGGAAATCCCCAAATATTTGGCAATAAAATGACACACTTATAAATAACTCAGAGATCAAGGAAGTCTTAAGAGAAATTAGAAATCATTTCAAAGTGAGCAATGAAAAAAATACAACTTATTAAAATGTGTGAAATATAGCAACAGCAGCCTTTAGAGGGGACTGTATAGCATTGCATGAATTCATTAGAAAAGATAAAATGATCTAAAATCAAAACCTAAACTGCCACTATAGAAAAGTAGAGCAATGTAAGCCTAAAGTAGGTAGAAAAAAATGAATGGAGCAAAAAATCAATAAAATTGCGAAGAGAAAACAATGGGAAGAACAACCAAATCAAAATCACCTAGCAGATTGGGAGCAGCCTGGGAGCCACAAAAATATGGAACGCTTCGTGAATTTGGGTGCCATCTTTATGCAGGAGTCATGCAAATCTTCTCTATAGCATTCTAATTTTCAAATATGTGCTGTCAATGCAAGCACAATACTGGCTTTTATATTAATAATTTTTAATTGTCTCTTAAATTATGTGCAAAATTAAGAATGGAATTGAAAACCTTTTTTTATAACAATACTAGCTTTTGTAATGGCTCATTTATTGAGTTTTCATTTCTTCACCGGGCTTTGATGTACCAACTAGTATCTTTTCATTTCACCCTGAAAGATTCCCTTTACCATTTTTTAGGGACCAAGTTCGATTTTTGTTTACCTCAGATTATCTTCATTTTGGCCCCACTTCTGAACAACAATGTTGCTGAATATGGGATTCTTAATTGTCAGGGGTTTGTTCGTTTTCTTCTAGCACTTTGAATATATTGGATCTGTCTTCTGGCTTCTAAAATTTCTGTGTATGTAATTTTTATAATTTTATTGAGGATCCTTTATATGTGGTGAGTTGTTTTTCTCTTATTTTTTAGTATTTTGTTTTTTGAAAAATTGATTATAACACATCTTGGTGTGAGTCACTTTGAGCTCATCTAGGAGTTACTTCATGAGCTTCTTGGTGTTTGTATTCATGTCTTTCATCATAGTTAGGAAGTTTTCAGCTATGATTTGTTTCAAATATTCTCTCCTCTCTTGCATCCTCTTTGCCTTCTGAGACTACTCCAATGCACTTGTTGATTCATTTGATGATATCCAACAGGACCGTTATGCTGAGTTCACTCTTCTTCAAGCTTTTTTTCTTTGTTTCTAAAGCTTAATAATTTTTATTGTGCATCTTCAATGTTACTGATTCCTTGTTTTGTCTATTGAAATCTGCCTTAGAATCCCTGTAGTCATTTTATTATTTCATTTATTAGACTTTTCGGCTCCAGAACTTCTGGGGATTTTCTGTAATTTTCTGGATCTTTCAAAATATTTGTATTTATGCATGTCTTTTTAAACTATCTCCAATCTTTCTTTCATTCTGGCATCCTTCAGGCAGTTCTTTTCAAGTTTTTCTCTAGTAGATTTGTCATCAGGTATTTTTCCAGGGGTAGTTTCTATTGACATTTTTATTTATACTTTCCTGTATTTTTTTTTACCCTTCAGTTTGTGTTGAAAACGGCTCATTTAAAGCGAATCCTGTGATATACGTGAAAATCCGATTTTTCCCCTTGCTTGGGGGGTTGGCTGTTTTATGTTATTGTGTATTGTTTGGGGTTTGAGATTCCTGTAGGCTGTCTCCATGCTGAAGATCAGCTTGATGTGTACATTTAAGGTTCTCTCGGGTCATTTCTGAGCCTGTGCCTTTCTCTTTGAAGGCAGGGTTACTCACTAATGTTCCTCATCTATGGAGCTGCTTTTAAGTACTCTAGTTTTACTGTCTGGCTTCCAAAGAGGGAAAGAAAGAGACAAAAATGAAACAGGGTTAGAGAGTGGGAGAGAAAGGGCATTAACCTTTAATTCACTAGAAGTCATTTCAGCCTGGGGAAGAGCATCTGACAACTGGAGAAATGCAAAACAAAGGCCACCGCCTACTGTTTCTGCATCTCTGTGATAAAGGCAGTGATTCACAATCCGGACACAAGTCTCCAATATTCAGAAAACAGTTGCCTCATTGTCCACTCTGACTTTCACAAGCTGCGCTCAAGATGTTCCCGGAATACCTGCACAACTGGCTGCTGCAGCTGCTATTGTGCTAAAAGCTGAAATCAACCAAAATGAGCCATAATTTATCACCTGTCCTTCCCCCAGAAGTTGCAAGCTTTCAATAAATTTCAGAGCTCCCAATAGTTATATCAGACGTATTTTACCAATGAAATTGTTGTATGGGTGAGGGGACAGATTACTGTTTTTTCTATTCTAAAAATTTCCAGAATCCTCTCTAATCTGTATTTAAGCGTTACTATTTTCCCTTACCTTGTTAGAATAATGACTCATTGCTAATAATCCCCTGAACGTGTTTATAAATAACTTTGTTTTACTAGACAGATGTATAAATTCTAAAAAGTATAACTGCATATAATTTATTTATCTTTTAAGTTGGCAAAAGTGGTATAAACTCACCAGGAATTGATTTTACAGAATGAGAAACTAAGTAAACTAATGGAAGTTTAAATTTAAAAGCCGAAGTAATTGGAGGCTGTTAATTATTTTCTATTGTAAATGGTACCAAAAGTGAATGAAAATGGGTAAAATTCATGCAACAAATAATTATTTGTAAATAAAGAGTATATGATAGACCACTGTTCTACACCTATAGAGGATATTTTTGTGTACTCACTATATAACTTTTACCTGAAGAAATCGACATAGCTTTCAGATGAATATTATTGTACCATTTAAAAGTAAACATCAGAAATTGTATGTGTAATGATTTCCTTTTAATATTTTTGACACTGTTCTTGAGCTTTTTACATGTTTCCAAAGCTACAACTTTGAAATTCTTTTAAGAAAAATTAACTAATAAATGATAAAGTATTTATAACTGGAATGTGCTTGAGTGATCTAAAAACTGTTAAGTTGTCATTTTTATGGCTATTTAGATTGCATACACAAAACCAATGTTTTAGTATTGGCACCAAGGTTTTCATGTGTAAGACATTATTCACAGTGTGTTTCCCGTTATTTTGCATAGCATTATTCTTTGTGAAAAAAATTCTGGCCTCAGGGGGAATATTGCAGTTGAACACACAGCAATATATTTTTGGTGTGGAGCCATAGTACCATGGTTTAATTTTTTTAAAATTACTTTGGCAATCAACAGAGCTAAGGTAAGAGAGAAACACACATACATACATACACATACACACGTGAGGAGGGGAGAGAGAGAGAGAAGGAAAGAAGGGAATAAAGTAAGAACAACATAAACACTTCAATTTTATTTTTAAAGTCAGGGAGTCAATTTGTTAACAGATACAAGAAAACCACCTGATTGGATTTTTCTAAATTATTCCTTGCTTGTCTAAGTCGTGTTTATTTTTATTAAATACACAAACTGCCTATGATTTATATACATTCATATTCTAGAGAAAATTTAAAATTTGTGATAAGAGTAAAATGATGGCCATTTTATGAGATAATTTCATCTTTGTGATACATATTATTCTGTCTAATGGTAAGAACTATAGACTCCCATTAGTTCTTTTCAAATTACAATTTGTTTTTCTAGAAAAAACTGTCACTATCAGTAAGGAAACTGCCGTTTTGAAATTTTCCCGGTTTTCAAACTAATGTGTATTTTGCTTGTCAGATATTCGTGTTCACATTATCATTATGTACACGTTTCAGTACCTCCTAACTCTACTTATAATTACCTTTCTGCCCTTCCAGTTGTCAGGTGTGTTTCTCCCTTCAGGTGTAAATTGCCTTGTGTTCATTAAAAAAGAAATAATTAAAAATATATTTCTTGAATTAAATATGCTACAGAACCAAACATTAATATTATTTTAAATAAACTGGCTTAAATTTCAAAATATTTATGAGTGTGCATATACACAAACATCTGGCAAATTAATTTTTACACATTGTAAATGATTGTAACTAAATTCTAAATATCTTAAAATCTTAATGTATTTCCATAAGTAAGCGAAGAGGGAATATGATTCTGATTTTGATCTTTTTCAAATAACACAGGTGTATGGCTCTTTGTAAAAATAAATAGTGCATGAATGCATTTTTGAAAAATTTATAATAACAATTTCAACTTGCTTATGAAAGAATATATATCCAGAATGGACTTCCTATACATTTGCACATGTCCACTGAATATATGATCTGCCATCTCTCTCAATATATCTTCGGTATCTGCATTTTCTTTGGTTTCGGCTCTTAACCAAATCCTATTGCTTCCATGTGAAATGTTTCCTTTGAAGTCAATGGAAGCTCTGCACTGGGGAGAGATTCATGGTGTGTGGAGAGAGATGAGAATTGCAAATGTGGTTTTGAAATATCATAAAAAAAATACTTGTTCAAAAATTTAAACAACTGAACCTAGAATTGATATATAATATCAATGCATTTATATTCCAAAACCTCAAACACGACTTGATTTTTTGTTTTGCTCAGGGTTATTCTTCCTAATATCTCTAAAGTATGAAATTGCAAACAGCAGCAACAACTTCAGTGAGTTCTCCTGTTATTCTTCGTTACAAGACTATATAAGCAGCAACATTTCAATTCCAACTTATTTACCTAAAAACTGTTAGAACCCCCACTTTCGAAAAATTTCTTCCCATACTCCTTGTTTTTTCTCGGCTGTGCTAGTCTCTTATTCTGTCTGTTTGTTTGTTTGGACAAAGTCTTGCTCTGCTAACCACGGCTAGAGTGCAGGGGAATCAGCATGGCTTACTGTGACCTCAAACTCCTGAGCTAGAGCAGTCCTCTTGCCTCAGCCTCCTAAACAACTGAGATTATAAGAGTAGCCACCATCCCCAGCTAATTGTTCATAAAAACTAGATTTGCTCTTTCCTAGACTGTCTCAAAATTCTGGCTGCAAGCATTCCTCCCTCCTTATCCTTCCAAAGGGCTGGGATTACAAGTATGAGCCACTGTGCCCAGTCCTGTTACTGTTCTTACCCTGAACATTCCTCTCTTTCCTGTTCTCAAAACTACTTCTCCATTTCTCTTCTTTTCACAAAAAAACTTCTAGAGATTATCAGCAATTGCTTTCTGGGAAGTCTCTTCTTTCTTTCTTAAACTCACTTCAAATTGTTATCCACACCAATCTACCAGTCATTAAAACGTCCCCAGTCAACTCCACAATACTAAGTCAGACGATAGATTCTCAGGCACATTAAACATGATTTGACCTAGTTAACTATCTGTCTACTCTTCCTTGACACACTTTTTCACTGGATTGTAGTTTTAACATTTTCCCTGTGTTTTGGCCATTCTGGAACCCTTTTCCCTCTGCTATTTCTTTCTTACCCTACCTAACCAGTACTTCTTATGCCCAAGGTCTCAATTAGTTCCTAGGTATCTCCAGATTCATTCTTTCAGGTGGATCTTATACCATTGTTCAATTTTAAATATTGCTTAAACTTACAATTCTCACATTT